GTCTTTTTTCCGGCCTGACCGTGCAAAATACAGTGCGCTGTAGGGTTGTGTATAGTTATATGGATTAAATGAAAATAATTAGCTTCTGTGAGTTTTAGTAATCTTGGTTTCTCACTGTACGTGCTTCCTCTGGGTCAGTTGTTCAGCCGTTATGCCGACGATACACAGATCTACTTCTCTGCTAAACCCAATAACCTGAATCAACCGTCCTCCCTCAGTGACTGCTTAGCTGCCACCAAAGACTGGATGTCTCAGTTTTCTCAGTCTCTCCTCTTCGCCGTTCGCTATTTTCTTTCTCCCAAGCACTTTGTGTGACAGTAATCATCCGTTAAACACAGTGGGCTGTAAATAGCTAGTTACATTGATTAAACAAAGCTTTGATGCAAAGATTTTAGTATTCCAGTTACTCGAGTAATTCAAGGAAACGCTTCCCCCCTTATTCCCACTAATCGTGAATCATATCTCACTCGCAGTATCAAAGTCATCACATTTACCACGCCGTGCAGCCCTATTAGTTAGCAGTATTTCAGTCTTCCAGGGGCCAGGTTTAAGACCAGACTGAACGTTCAGTCGAAACACTAACAGAGCGGACTCAGCAGCTGCTTCTTCTCCTCCTCCTCCTCCTCCTCCTCCTCCTCCTCCTCCTGCTCTGAGGAAAACAGCTGCTTCACTGGTGGAGTTTACTGCCTCAGGGACCCACAGCGACACACACACACACACACACACACTCACACTCACACTCACACACACACACACACACACACACACACACACACAGAGCTCTCCTGAGTGCCGGCAGGTCAGCGGGCTACCAGGTGTAGGTGGAGGACGGGTGAGAGGAAAGAGGAGGAGGAGCGGCAGCGCAGGGAGGTGAGGAGTGTAACTGATGACCTCCTATAGCCTTCAGCTATTTGTGAGAAGAAAAAAAAAAGATAAATAAATAAACAAGACAAATGTCCGCTCCTCTGTGGAGGACAAACTAAATCTTCCCCGCGGCTCTCCTCCTCTGCTGCTGTTTCAGAAAGCCTGAATCAGAGAGCGCGATTACAGCCGACGCCAGCCGGAGAGCAGGAAGTGAATCCTGCTGGTCGGACTGAAGGTTTCAAACAGCAGAGGCAGGCGGGGATCGGAGCATTTACATATCAAACACATCAGACTTAAAGGCAGACAGAACACCCAGCTAGCTTTTGCATTCGGCCAATGGAGAGGAGTGAACAGATTGAGGTGAAGACCCGTCCACACGAGCTGTCTCAGCTTTATGACTCCACTTGATGGACGCGCAGAGAGACAGGAAGTTTGTGAAAGATCAGTCAGACAAACACACAAAGTCAAATATTCAGAAATAAAGTTAAAGCCGCCTGCAGCTCTTAAACTAACATCAGAGGGTTCAACGCTGCCACTTCTACTCTACTGCTAGTGGAGAAATATTGTGTTCAACACTGCCGGCTGCTAAAGACAGTCCCAGTCGACTGATCGTTACACATTTATGAAATTAATTGAATGATTTAAATCTCTATATTTGTACAGTACCTTAAATGCTAAGAGAAAAAGCTCTGATACAATATATTTAACATTACATAGTTAAATCCAGTTCAGGGAACGGCGGACTGCGCCACTAATGTTAATTAATGAAAATCAATATGTCAGGAGGTAATGTTACAGGTTATCATCTTAAATTTTGAATTTACAGTAACTACAGATGATTATTATAATATTGTTTACATAATTTTAGAAACGTACGAACAGTATTTAACATGAATTTAAAGTTTAATCTTTTAAATAAACAATAAATATCTGTTTTTAACTTCTAAAGAAGCGTATCATTTTTTGTAATTTTATTAATATTTTCATGTAAAATACAGAAAAAATCTGTAAAATAATCAGAAAAACCCCGTAAACGTACAGATTTTATTTACAGACCAAACTTTTAAGTCTTCCCTTGTTAATGATATTAATATAATTATATAAATATACATATTTTATCAAATCTAACAGCAGTAAAGATTCCGAATGTGTCAGAAAAACACAGAATAAATAACTTCCTGTCGGACTCAATCTGCAGCAGAGAAGAAGAACACCGACTCGCAGAGATTCTCCATTTCCTGTCAGCCTCGCCAACTTCCTGTCACCATGTTGATTTACTGTTCCATTACCTGTGTGTGTGAGTGTGTGTGTGTGTGTGTGTGTGTGTGTGTGTGTGTGTGTGTGTGTGTGTGTGTGTGTGTGTGTGTGTGTGTGTGTGAGTGTGTGTGTGTGTGTGTGTGTGTGTGTGTGTGTGTGTGTGTGTGTGTGTGTGTTTACATGTATGTGTGTGTGTGTTTTTCCCTCAAAGGCAGAGTCTCACTGGAGTAATTACAACACACACACACACACACACACACAGTCTCAGGTGGAGGATGAGCAGTGGCTGTTACCATGGTGTCACTGTCACCGTGCCAACTGATCAGTGTGTGTGTGTGTGTGTGTGTGTGTGTGTGTGTGTGTTATGACCAGTATATGGAGGCTACTATTAGCATATAAACAGATATTTGTTTAAATGTCACAGATGTAAACAAACACGGAACTTCAGTCACCGACCTGTAACGTCCTCTCGTCGCCACAATGGCCGCTGCTCTGCGAACGTTACGTAATCTCGCTTTAAAGACATCAGATGTGTAAATGACACACATTTATAATTGGGCTGAAACGATTCCTGGAGTACCTCGATACAGCCACACAGCGCACTGAGTTCTGCAGGCTGACAAACAGAAGCTACCTGATACAGAGCTGAGTTCAGATCCTCAATCACTACTCACACTGGTGTTCAACGTAGGTTTATTAGGCTCTTACTGTCCTGAGATCAGTGAGGAAGAGGAGGTGTTGGATTGTGCTGCTGTGAAAACGTCAGTGTTGAGTTTAAATACTTTTAATGATCAGGTGGATTTGGACACTGTGCAGACTTTGTTAGGTTATATGTGACCTCCGCGCTGTTACGCTCTCTGGATCTGCTGCTACTGTAATTACTGTTATGGGTTCACACTCTCATATCGCACATGGGGAACTGTCTGTCGTAATATTTTCATTTTCAACTCGCTATAAATTGTGTTTATGTGTTGGTAAAATATAATTCTGGTCACCTAACTGTATGTTGTGTTTGTACAGTCACAGTATTACTGTAAAAATACAGTATTTTGATGTGAAATTACTATATAATATTGTAATAATCATCTGTAGTTAATGTAAATTCACAAATAATTTACAGTTTTAGGATTATTAACTGTAATATTACCTCTTGATTCAACATTCATGAATTAACTGTATTACTGTACAATAATTATGATATTCTACAGTGAATTTACTGTAAAAGTACAGTAATATATTATATAGTGAATGTGAATTCATGAATGTTGACAGGTAACATTACAGGTTATAATCTTAAACTGTAAATTATTGTGAATTTACTTTAACTACAGATTATTATTTCAATATTATATTGTAATTTCACATAAAAATACTGTATTTATACAAACAATACATTACTCTGCTTTTCATCTTTACTACTGTAAAATAATTATTAGCCAGTAATTTAATCTAAAATATTATTGTACTTTTACGGTAAATTCATGGATATTGAGAGGTTATATTACAAGTTATAATCTTACAATCTTCCTTTAATGTCTTGTTTTTAGCTCAGTCTGAACGTGTTTGTGGTTTTAGTTTCCTTCCCCAGAAGTCTGAAACCTAATTTTTATACAATTCTTCCTCATAATCGCTGTAAAAAATCATGTTAATCAGCTTTATAATTGGCTCCTTCATCAGGCCTTTCACAATAAAAGCATTTACAGGCGTCACCCCCCCCCGCGAGCGTCCCGTAGATCAGACAGCTTTAATGAGCCTCTGATGTGCGTCTATTTCGGTTCGTGTGACATGAAAACATTGGGACGCCTCGGGCCGCAGAGCGACTGCAGACTTTAAACAAGAGGAAACAAGTGTTTTCTGTCGAGAGAGATTTACTGAATCAGATCGTGAGACGATCAAATGGCCCGAAACCACATGAAAGGATCAGATCTGCAACCAGACGTCAGCAGTCTGGAGACAAAGTGAGACCTTAAAATCACTTTCACTGACTGACTGACTCATGTAGAAACAGTCAGTGTTCCTCTGAGCCGCTTTACAAAAAACTGACAGCAAATATTATAAAATCTGCTTCAGTGAGTCAACAGGAAACGACACCAACAGTTAAAAACTCATCTAAAAGGATGCAAGCAGTTAAATATATTGTACAGTAAATTACTGGATAATAAGCAGTAAATTCACAATATTATACATTAATTAATTTACAGTAATATAATTATTTCATGTCCACAGAGACAGAAATAAACACTGATTTAATCTCAATCACATTTATCAATATTTGCTATGAAAATGAAGATATTTGAGCTGTAAAACATTATTATATGGCACATTAATAAAGCGATAGAAATATAAAGGGCGGCATTAAAGATCAATAAACTTATTGTTTATTTACAAATCTTCAAACATTTTTCCAAATACGTGTGTTTCCTTATTAAACTTGAGCCGATCACTGAGTCTAACATGTCCATAACAGATGCACCTGGTGGCTCACCTGGTGGCTCACCTGGTGGCTCACCTGGTGGCTCACCTGGTAGCTCACCTGTGTGTTTGTACAGTAATCAGTGAGCCATGCTGTTAGCCAGCTAGCTAACTAATGAATGTTGGCTCTGTGTCGCTGACAGCTGCAGATTGATTGACGGGTGAATGTTTGATATTATTGGTTGAAATCAGTTAGTTCCTGCTGACGTAAACACGCGTCACATTTTGTTTTACAAGAAGACACAATGATCGGATTTTATATAAAATTAAGAAAGAAACTGTAAATGTTTGTCATAAATTGTTAAATAGAGGAACAATATTTAACTGACGATCTTAAAGGGTTAAAATTACATTTTTTATTTCACCTGAACTTTAATCTAATGTGTGTGTGTGTGTGTGTGTTTCAGGTTCCTGCTGAGCTGATCACACACACTGTCTGCACAAGGTAACACGCACACACACACACACACACCTACACACACCCACACACACACACACACACACACTCACACACACACCTACACACACACACACACACACACACGCAATGTGTCTATTAGTGAAGCCAGAGGTCAAAAGGTCAAGCAGCGCTGCAGCTAACGCGCTAACTGATTAGTTCAGCCTGCTGCTGGCAAACAGGCTGACTGCAGGAGGCACACACACACACACACACACACACACACACACACACACACACACACACACACACACAGAGAAATGATGCCAGGGGCCCAGTGGGTTGCAGCGTGCCATTACTCTCTCTCTCTCAGTGGATCTTGTTTCTGAGGCGCCTCAGTGGCTCAGTCACTGCACAAGCTGGAAACTCGCCCGTTCTTCCTCCTCCTCCTCCTCCTCCACCTCCTCCCCCTCCTCCTCTTTCTCCTCCTCCTCCTCTTTCTCCTCCTCCTCCTCTCCTGCTTTAAATGATCAAAAGTTGAAACCTGGACGGTCAATGAAAACACGCTCTAAACCTCCAGCTAGGGCTCGCCAAAGCTTTACAGAGGGTCGCGAAGCATCTCGATTTTAAAGCGTGCTAGAAAACGTCAAATACACACACAGAAGGTCGATATCTGATTATGTGATTCACTTCTGTGAAGAAATGTCAATAGTCTAATAGAACAATGCCCAAACGTCAGAGACAAGAAAACACTGAATCTGTCAGAAAAGAAGAATATTAAGTCTCTTTGATTGTTAAAGATGATAGAAATGATAAAAATCCATAATACAGATAATTCTAGAAAAAGTTCCCTAAACAGGAAATAATCTGCTCAGAATTCATCCAAATCTCTGCTTTTACACAAACTTCCTGCAGTTCCTGAGTTCACTGTTTGGATTCGTTGTTCAGTTTGAATATAATGTGAAATATCTATAAACGATATGATAGAAAAGGTCCTTTAAGTGATCTCTCTTGTGACTATTTTTAGTTTTTGTCATTGCAGTAAAAGGTTGATCGTCTTTGATCCGAGACCTCCGATTACGATACTTTAATTGTCTTTAGACTGACTCGTAGCTCTAACTAATGCTAGCTTTAGCGTTAGCTTTTCAGACTGTTCATTAGCCGAAGAGGGTAGCATAGATGCTGTTAGCATTTCCTCACTGAACGAAGAGCAAATGACGGCACTGAAGTTTGACTGCGTTTCATTGTTCTTTGATCTGATTGGTTGACGTTTCCAAACAGCAGTAACAACCAAAAGCAGCGAGCTTCTGACGGACAATGAGGAGAAACCAAACTAATGGTTGTTGATTCGTCCTCGCAGCCGGTTTCAGAGCAACAAACACAACCATTATTTACTTTCATCCGTCTGTCATTTGAATCTTTGTGTCCAGCTCAGTTACCTTTTCCCTCTAAAAGCAGACGAGCCGACGGCTTCACTGTCTGACAGCTCGGATTCAAACTGCGGTGGGCGGAGAAGCTTTCAGACCAATCAGCATCTACAATTTGTAAAAACAAACACAAAGCTTCTCGTCTGACTGCTTCATTCCTGACGGCGTCTTCGTGACATGAAAGTAAAAGCAACAACATGGAAACGTCCCAATCTGAGAGTAAACGGATTCCCAGGACGTGTTTGGACAGCTGGTTCCATCTGGATGTTCAGAAAAACAGACACGTTTGGTTTCATTTTCTCAAACATTATCACTGTGAATCACATCAATCTTCCTGTTCGAGGCGTGGGAGGCTGACTGGACGAGCTGAGGCATAAATCTGCACACAGAATAGCTCCTGTGGAAAGGATCCGTTTGATTGTGACATTTCTAACACGAGGCTCTTCCTCAGACTTCTGTCGCCATCTTAAATACCCACAATCCATAAGTGACAGGAGGAGTGAGTCTGAGAGCTGAGTGAGTCCATAATAAACAGATTTAGCTGTGATTTAATGTCACTAAACAGATCAAAATGATGCAGAAATAACGAGATCAAGATGCTGATTATATGAAAAGTCTGAATTTGTACTTTCGGTTTTGTGCACAAAATGACGAGCAAACAACTTTTAAAATGTTTGTTTTCTGAATGGAGTTTGGTCGATCGGGACTATCGAGGATCATGGAAATGTATTTATCGTTATACAACACAAGGAACAAAATGAAAGTTTGTAGTTCTTCCATGCTACACACAGAAAAACATAGAAAAAGAAACATAACTCCCAAATTCTCTCCTATATTGTCAGCAGGGGAGCTCCACTCTGATAGTATTGAGTCTTATGGAGAAATGAGTCGACTTCTCAGTTGATTTATGAGCTCAGTAAACAGTTTCCTGATGAGTTTCCGGTCTCAGTCTCTAGTTTCAGTCTTCTTCCATACAGCATGATGTTCATTTAGTAACTGATGGTCCCATTTAGAGTAAAACAGACCATAAAGCAGGGTATGCTTTAGGGCGGGGCTACCTTGTGATTGACAGCTCATTCTCAGTGAGTCCGTCCAGCTCAACGCACCAAACTCAGATCAAACTGTCAAACAGTGCTGATCAGATATGGATCCAGATTCTGTTGTTGATTATTTCTCTCCTCAAATCTGTTCACAAACACATTTTACTGTTTATCTGGAATACCAGATCCTGTGTGAGCAGGCGAGCCGCCATTGTTTCCTAACCGAGAGCAGCCAATGAGAGCAGCTCAACTCGCAGTACGTGACCTCCGCTGGCTCCGACTAACCGTCATTGTGACGACCGTAACACCGAACTGGAGGCTTCAGATCGGTTCTCCACAAACCGATGGGTGACGACAGGTTCACAGTTGTTCTGCAGACAGACAGACAGACAGACAGACAGACAGACAGATAGATGTCTGTAGCTGCACTTTGGCCTCCATTAGTCCCCATTTTGGAGCAGCCCATAATAATAAGCATCATACACAGTTACCATGACAACAGCAATCGAAAAGAGTCTCTCTGTCTCTCTCCCTTTTTCACTTTTTTTCCAAACTCTCTCCATCATCTGTGTCATAGGACTGGATTTAAATCTGAAAGCTCTTTTGTTGTTTGTGTGAAAGGAGCTCGCTCGCACGCACACACACACACACACACACCTACACCTACACACACACACACACACACACACACACACACAGTGAGGAGCAGTAACTGTGAAGAATACAAAGCGGTTCGTTCGCTGCACATCAAATTAATTTCTAGATTGACGACGTTGTTTTAAATAAAAAAGGTAAATTATACAGTTTCAGTGGCGTGAATGGGGTGAGGAGGGGGGTCTGTGGGGGGGGGGTGTCCGTTTTAAAGCTGGTATCATACGATTTTTAAAACAACCACAATATTTCTGGGAAATTAACTCTCAAATCAGTGTTTATTAAAATAAAAAGTTCCTCTCTCGTTCTTCCATCAGCCACTTTTCTGATTTTCATCAATACCGTGAAGTTGTTGTTTTATCTGGCGGTCGGGGCGCTTGACGGAGGGTCGTGAGGTCTTCTTGATTTTAAGACGAGCTCCGTACACAGAGCCTTCAGCCTCTAAACAACCTGCATTAGAAACACATGAAGCTCATACAACATACATCATAAGAAACATATAAAGTTTATATGATCGTTAAATACAGAATACAGACAGAGAATTATATAAAACGTTCCTAAAAATATCAATAAAGGTGTAATATATTTATTCTGTAGATTTGATTTAATTCACTCCGAGACATTTTTCAGTGTAAAAAAAGTGAGCCGAAGGATCTGTCCTAGGTTTCTGCCTTTTAACAGGCAGTGTTTCCTTGCCCTTGTCTCCAAGGTCTTGCTCATGGTGGTACTGTTGGGTCTCTGTAGATAATGTTATAAAGAGTTCGGTCTAGACCTGCTCTATTTGAAAAGTGTCCTGAGATAACTTCTGTTATTGGCGCTATACAAATAAAATTGAATTGAATTGAACTGAATGTTGTTGTTGTATAAATGACACATTATGAGGTCAAAGGTCGGCTGTGATTCAGTTTAATGACACAAAATGACAAAATGATAAGCTTTAACTTCCTCAGAACTCAGAGAGAGTGTGTATGTGTGTGTGTGTGTGTGTGTGTGTGTGTGTGTGTTGTGTTTGTGTTTGTGTGTGGTGTGTGTGTGTGTGTGTGTGTGTGTGTGTGTGTGTGTGTCAGAGGTGAGTGTTTAACATGATCACAGCTTTCTAATGGAGGTAGTAATTACCTCCTGGCTGTCTGCCATCACAACTCACCTGTACACACACACACACACACACACACACACACACACACACACACACACACACACACACACACACACACACACACACAGTCTGTGTCAGTTTGAAACGGACTTTTTGCTTTATTGTCACATTTTGTCTGAACATCTTAATGTTTTATGTGAACATTTATCCTGAAACCTACACTTAATAATTAATAATTAAAACAGAAGACTGTTTAAACTGATTTTACAGATGTTTCAGTATCAGTGAGGATGTATTTTGTCCTTTTTCACATAAAAATATAAATGTATATTTACTGTTTATTTAATAGATTAAGCTGTTACATTTAGGTTTAATAATGTTAATACATTTCTAAAATTATGTAAAATTAGTGACATTAACAGTAAAAGTGTTAGTTGTGTAATTTTAATGTATTAGTTAGTTAACTGACAGATATGTTGTATAATGATGGAAGTTGAATAAATGTTGTTTATCAGTGTATAAGCATTGGTAAACTGTCCAAATACAGTTGTTATCAGTGTAAACAGCAATAATTACTGTAATCTCACAGATAATGACTTTTATTACACTTCTATAACTTTTAACATTCACATTAAAATAATAACAATCCAATAATAACAGCACTCTGCTGTAAATGTAAGTCTGATTATTGTATTATAGCAGAGTTCACCTGGATTTATAGATCATTGTTTTACAGTGTGAATATCTTTAATTAAACATTACACAAGATTTTATGTAAAATTAAAGCTAAAAACTGTATTTTAATAACAGAAAATGACTGTATTTTTACGAGTC